TTATAAGAACTATAAAATATCAAAAACGATCAGTTCTTAAGAAAATAAGTGCAGAATAATAATAAATAAACGAACGGGTAAGTTAAAATGCTTACATATCATATTATGTGATTATATGTTCTTATGTGATTATTTGTTCTTATGTGATTATTTGTTAAATACATATAATAAATATAAATATATATATTTTAAATTTCTGTATATAAAATTTATCTTTTCTGCGAAAAAATTTTAATTTCATTGTTTACTGCAGCATTTGTGCACCTTGACGTATGAGTAACTATTTGAAGTTTATCTTAAATTGAAAAGTCTACAATAAGAAGAAGAGCAATATGCAGCGATGATAAGCTCACAAAACAAATTAAGACTCATTGTCAATTACAAATGTTCCAAATGTTTAAATAAGTTTAATTTTCAACAAAATTTATTTATTGTTCGTCAAGAGCAACTTTGCTGATAATAAACTTGCAAATTAAGAGACACAAACGCACACACACACATAACCACTCACAAACAACTAAACACAATTAAACTAACAATGGAACGCTTAAGAAACCGCAAAAAAGATATAATTTAATTTATGCGAAAAGTGCTCCAAGGTGCTATTTTAGTTTTCAATGTTCAGTGAAGACAATTTGACATTCCAAAAGCTTTTCAAGCGTAAAATGCCTGATGCACTTGCTCCAGGCGAACTACAATGAAAACACACTTTACCCATTTGTACACATAAAAAACCAAAAAAAAAAATCGTAGATACAAATGTATCTTTTATTGAATATTTTATATATTTGTTTATGCGCTTAATTGTGTCTTTCGCTATTTTCAAGGTATGCCCGTATGCCCGTATGCTCCTATGTTTTTGGCTTTTATGTTCATAGGAGGTGTAATAAAATTTGAAATTTTACTACAACCGCATTTTCATGTGGAAACACATTTTCTTTATACGAGTGTTTTATGTTAGTTGGAATGTGGAATGCACAATAACTTACTTTCTCAAAAGTAAACTCAAAATTACTTTTAATGGATTTTGCACTTGCAGATGCACTTGCTCTACTTAATTCCAATTTAATGCGTTTGCACGGAGGAAACGCATGAATGCACAGAAGACACTCACTGTTCACAGGACTCGTAACTCGCACAAATCACTGCTTAAGTTACTAAAATAGCAGCGGTGACAATTTCATATCCTTAACGGAGTTTATACTGTTCCAAATAACAATGCAACATCCTTACTTCGGAGTAAGTTTTATAAATTTATGTTAATTTCTTTTTGTTTTATATTTTGCCAAAAAAAAATAATTAAAACTTAAATTATTTTGTGTTCAGCACCTACAAAACTCACCGATAATTTAGTCGTTAAAGTCTAAATTCACTTGTGAATTTTATTTTGAGTTTAATTTTTATTTTGATTTTTTATTAGAAAGAACTTTTGAATTTAACGTCCTTTTGTCGAAACTATTGCACGATGTTGACCAAGTGAAGGCAAATCAACGTGTATTGCCGCAGCACGTTTAAAATATTTGTGATATTAATTTGTGTGCTGCAGACCCTTTTATACTCGTCTGTGTTACGGCTAAGCGTCGTTATCGTTGTGTTAGTAGAATTTCGGTACAGGCCAATACATAAACGATATGATTTTATGCGGCGCGGCGCATGATAACAGAGACGCAATCGCAGCTCGCAGAATTTAGTGACGCTTTACTGTGCTGCCTTTCTCACAGCGCTGCTCAATTCTGCTTCATTTTACTTTACTTTGCTCTGTTCAATTCTACACTATGCTATGTGCCTTGCTATTTCGCGTTGTGCTGTTTTATCTGTCTGCTGCTGCGCTGCATTGCTTTAGAACATCGTCGGCTACGTAAAAGACGAATCATTTTGTTTCGTTTTATGTTGTGTTGATGTGTTGATGTGTGTTTGTTGTTGCATTTGTAGATTAATGCAGTCACTATGTTCTGCTTCTATTAATTTCTTTGATTATATTTGTGTTTAGTGTTTATTTATGTTTAAACGTACATTATGACAAAGTAACCACGTGCACTTCGGAGCTAACTGCATTTGAAATTATTGGTTTAAGAAAAATTTCACAATTTAAAGGAAATATTTTAAATAAAATTTAGTATAAACTTATAATTTAATATAAACATATAAATTAAATTGGTAGTTTATAATTTAAAATGAAAAATAAAATTTAAGAACAAGAATATTTTAAATAATCTTTAAATAGTAAAAATACTTTAAACATAATAAAATAAAATCAGATATTTTGTTAGAAAACCAAATTTAAAGATATCAATCACCTCTGAAGATGCGTATTTGGCAATACTCAAAACAGCTGTTTGATCAGTCAAAAATTAAATTCATTGAAAATAATAAAAAAAAATTTTGGTATTGCAATTCATTACTATTCGATAAAAAATTTGCTTTTTACTAGAATTCATAAATATATTATTTTGATATTTGACTTTTCCTAGTGGAAATTCCAGCAATATCTACTGTGATGCTGATTAAAAAAAAATATGTTACTGCATACACATATGTGTATTGAAAACAATAGTTTATATCAAGAATTTAGTTTTTTCGCCAAAATGAACATTCCAAATCAAAATAAATAATTTATAAAATCTTTAACATAATTTACAAAATAAACAGAAAATAGCAAAAGTTAGGCTATTTAGGGTAATTCTTATGTTCTAATAAAATAAACAAAAACACTGAATTTTAAATTTAATTCATATAAATTATCAGTAACCCTGCTATATTAATATAAAGTTATTTTCAATATTGAAAAGACAAATTTATTTTCTAAAATTATTTTTATATATATAATTTTTTGATATTTTATAATAAAATACTCTTTTATTCCAAACTGCCATTTTATTTTAAATGGAATTTAAAAAAATTTTTTTTTATAAAACTAATAATTGTTCTCTTGTATAAACACTTATCATCTGTTTATTTTATCTAAGAACAAAAATAAGATAACTGACTTCGATTGTCTGCCAAGAGAATATAATGACCTCTTAAACTACACTCATATTCATAACACTTATATATTACAATTTAAATGCTATTAACGTTAAATGCTTATAAGGATGTCGTATACAATCAGTATTATTGTCATCCAAATAATTTGACAGATTTATTTACAATGCACGTTGAAAAATCAGGTTCTTAAGTACTATACACATGGATGTCTTAGTGGATGTCTTATGCAATTATTATTATTGAAGACAATAATCCTGATTGTCTTTCAAATTAATTTCAAGGATTTTTTTACAAGGCACGTTTAAGAAATCAGATTCTTAAGTACTTTACGCCTTTCGGTAGTTCGAAATATTTTATGAGGACTTATAAGTGCAAACTAATAAATTTCCTCTTAAATATCTAAAAAAAGTAGGAAGTGCTATCGTTTCAGAAGAAAAACCTTACGATACACTTATAAAAAACATATGATATTGAGGTTATGTATTAGTAATATCTATTTAAAATTAAAGCATTTTTATAGTTCCAAAGTAATTTTATATTATGAAACTTTAAAAATCTTAGTATACAGAATAATTCGTTAAATATATCACAAACCACCAAAATTGCTACCTCAAAAATATTCACATAACAGTGACCGATTAAATAAAAATTTCCGTACGATTCCCACATAATTTTAATCCTGAAAAACTAATTAACCTTGTCAGTAGGAAAAAGCAACATAATTAATTATTATATAAAGGCTTAATTACTTCAAGCTCATATTTTTATAGTCCCTTACTTCATCTCTTTTGCCTAAAAGTTTCTACTTAATAAATCAGTATTACTAGTAACGCACAGCATATGTTTATGCATTAGCGGACTTTAAAAGCGAGAACTATAAACTAAATAAAATTTAGAAATTATGAAAATTCATTTCAATAAAAAATCTTAACAAAACTGTAAACATAGAATAAAATATTCCTGTTTATCCTGCGGGAATCATTTAACTTTATTATCTAGCGGAAATGACTAGCAAAACACAATTGCATTAATTTGTGTGCTTATCAGCTGCTGAGTGAGTGTAGCTGTGTGAATGTATGTGTTACTTTGTTGTACAAAAGACATGTTTCATTTCCGTTTTATATCTTTAACAGCTCATAAATTTAAGTTACTTGTTCACAACGCATGTGACTGTCACTTTTCCTGCTATATGAAATTGTTGTTGCGTTATTCTATAGCAGTAATACATATGCAATATATATTGTTGTCCAACGTTTCATTGCACAATGTTCATAATCAGTTTCTTACAAATTTAAAGTTTCTCTTTGTGGAAGGTTGAAAGTAACTTTACTCTGTGTTGCGGATGGCTATTTCACCAATGTTCCATTTCAACACTCACACACACATACGATTGCGCTTTTACAAGTACAACATGGCATGGTTTTAACACCAACACAACCACTTGATTTACCTTAACACAGCTTTAGTGTCAATTTAAGTGTTCTTCAGTGCTTCGCTTCGGTGGACCAGTTCAGTTTGATAGTATTAGTACACGAGTATACGTGTATCTTTGTCTGCTTTTATTTAAGCTTTTGTGTTAGCATTGCAGATGGCATTTTAAAAAGAGGAAACGGAAACGGCATTGACATACTTTACCACATTTACTACATTTTAAGCAAAACCAGACAGGTACACAATGCTAAGAGTTGTATAAATGCACAAAGAGATGAACGTTAGAATGGACTTAAGAAAAGTTTATATTGAATGCTTTATAAATTGTAGGTAGGTATTATAGTTGTTGTTGTTGTTGTTGTTGTTGTTGTTGTTGTTGTCAGCATATTTGTAACAAACAATGAATTAACAACTACCACTGTCCATCCCACAGCCCGTTCTAGCTGCCTCAAGCAAACCGTGTACAGTGTACACTTTATTTTGTAGCAAACTGAACCAAAGTACTGCGCTTTTAGTGTCTCAAAACAGCAGGAATTACGTTGCTCTAACCCACTTGCAGATATGACATCGTTAAACGTTTCCATATATATGTACATTTGCCGTGTGTTTTGCACATAATGACAAAACGCTGGATAGTGAAAGTAACATAGTTGCAAGAAATTCTCAAATTGAATATAATTTTATTAACTTTAATTACGTTGCAAAGAAAATTATTAAATTTTTAAAAAAATATTTATTTTTCCTCACAGTTTTATAATGAGAAACCAGCAGAAACACACCATTCAGTTCTCGGCTTGCATGCTTTTCCTGCCAGTGTGTGCTCGATGTCAGTTGGGCACAACAGTTCTGAATTAATATGACTATATACAATGCACACACACACATGTTTATACATACAGTATACAAAAATATATAAATATATTTTAAATATATACTGTATTTAAAAAAAAAATTTATCTCACTTTACGCTTTTGTTTCATTACAAAAACAAACATTGCGTTCTCTATTGTTTTCACCATGTATCCTTCAAAGGATTTAATCAGTTGCTACCTTAGTCCTCCTGCTGATGATACCGTTTTTATTGTTGTTATTGCTGTTGCTGTTGCTGCTAATGATACTGGTGCAACGTTAGCTGTCGTGGTCATACATAAGTGACAGTATGAAATGAGCAGTTACCTACATGTGTATCGTTGTGTGCTCCTGGTAATTTATTGTTATTTTTAAGGTTACCGTTTTTGTTATTTTTCATTTTTACACACTTTTCTATTTGTAATTTTAATTTAATTTTTTTTTATTATTCTTATTTTATTTCCTTTTGCAAATCAAAAGTTCTCAATAAAACACGTACACACTTCAACTACGTACAGATATTGCATGTCTTCAAGTTTATAGATATTATTCCTCGTGGTGTTGGAAGGATTTGTATTTGTACCAAAATTTCAATTGGATGAATTTGAATCATGCATCAAGTTAAGCCAAATTGATGTAATATTGGTAAACTTTGCCAAAAGTTTTTTGTTTCTCTACGATAGTACGAAATTGATGATGAAAGGTAAAATATTGTTTGTATATTTGAATTTATATTTCCAGAACTGTCTTAAAACATTTATAACATCTAATAAAAGGATTTGTTTTTATTCACATAAGATAAATATACAAATGCACAAGATTTAAAATAATAATTAACAATAATAATGATAATCAACGAATAGGTTAGGTTAGGTTAGTACCGGCGACCCTGAGGATCCACTTAAAGCTATTGACCAATTTGTCAAATGTGTTAGGTATGAGAAGCTCAGATGATAAAAAACTACCTTGAACCTTTGGTTAAGCTTAAAGTACTTTTTAAAGGGAGCACCTTGATTTAGGCAAGATCCCCGAAAAAGGAAGCCCCTAAAATAATAGATTGACACCACGCATGTGTTGGGCGCATTGCTGCAGATATTGAAAACTAAGGAATTCACGAAATACCAAAACACTAAAATTACTATTTCACGTAACATATATGTTGAATACCGAACAAGGGAATAATGTAAATGGATCTATGAGCTGATGAGATCTATGATCTGAAATTTCCCGCATTTGCAATATTCAT